GCGCGTGAGTGAGGAAGTCTCAGTCTGTGTGATAAAGGCCGATTGGTTGTGGGTTGATTTGGTTCCGCCGTATTGTGCTGGAGGGCAACGTCCCCGACAGAATTTTCACAATTTTTATTCCCTCAATATTTTTTTTAGCGAGGGACACTTTTTTTCCCAGTCTGGTACGGGCGGACGCCTTTAGGCCCCTTTGCTGCAGTCATTAGGCCCCCCCAGCCGTCCGGCATAGTCCCCGACTCCCTGGAGAATTCCTGAACGTGATTCGGTTCGGCTTTCGGCTCTCCGTGCCGGGTGGGCCGGAGTCCCCCCCACCTCGCCGCCCACCTCTCTGCTTTGCGCGTTTACTGCTGCACACCACGTTCGAAAATGGTCCACTTCGATCTCTCTCTCTCTCTGCGTCGGAGAGAGAGGGAGAGGGGGCGTTTCGTTGCGGAGGCAGCCTTTGCTCATCGAGACGCGCGTGTGACATTCAGTCCCCAGATGTGTATTTTATACACGACTTGCGTCGAATCACTGCAGCCGTGTGTGTCTGGGGTGGAGGGGGGCAGAAGTTTGTCAGGAACAGACTTACCACAGGAGCTGCACTGTTGTCTCTTCCTCATCTTTTTCTATTTCATGTCGCTTTGAAAGTGACTGGCTCTGAACATAAACCAGGGATTGTTCGCCCCGGTGGCGGGCGCCGTGCGGGTAGGCAACCGCTCTTCTCGGCCGTCGGGCGGGACTGCCTACTCCACGGCGGCGCGCCCCCCGCGGGTAGGCAACCGCTCTTCTCGGCTGTCGGGCGGGACTGCCTACTCCACGGCGGCGCGGTAGGCAACCGATCGCGGCGCGTTTGTTCGGTTTGTCGACCCCGCAGGTCGCCTGTACCGTGGTCGTTGCTCCAAGCTCGCTCGCTCGCACACGCCGTATGTTTATTGTGTGGCCGCTATCTCTGTTGCACTGAGGAGGGAAGGGGGAATGCATCGTCCCTCTTGCTATAAAAAAATACCAAAAGAATACGTGCATTGTGCATGGTAAATTTCATTTTCGAAAAGCTTTAATTTTTGTTCAGTGTTAGAGTAATATTGTATGAACCTTGTGGCTTCAATCGCAAGTATATCCGATTTTATTGCGCGTTGTATTTGAATCGTAGTAAATTTTCCTAGTGAAACTTTTCTTCGGGTTTGACAGTGCAGATGTGACACTCAGTAGTACACTGTCGCAAATAGCAGTTGCTGGCGTGACCTTTTCGCAATTATTGTTTATTGGGGGTTTGTCTATGTGGGGCGAATCGCGGGGTGTTGGTGTGGGGGGGGGGCTATTGGGAGGTATTGGGGAAACCCTGGACTAGTACTTTTTTTGGCTCGGCTGGGGAGAGGCCCACGTGTCCGATTGTCTGTGAAACGAGAGGGTATTGTCGTCCACGCGGCGTGCCGAATGTGTTAGGCGTGTGTGTGTGGGGGGGGGGGGGATGCAGATCTCTCTACCCCCTCCATTCACTACCTCGTACAGGGTTGAAAAGCATGCCGCATTTGCTTGCCGCGCTCTTTCGCTTATTTCCACGGAAAATTTCTGTCCCCCTCCTCGCCTCATCTGCTTTCCCTGCCACCCAACGCCACCCCCCTTCCCCCTCTTTTCACACAACCACCCATTTCGCTATTATTGAGAATATCCGACCCTCCTCCCTCCGCGTTCTCTATTCTTTTACATCGGCCGGAGGTGGTGGTGGGGGGTGTGGAAGGGGAGGGGGTGATTGTCCTGCCGTCAGTAACACGTACCCCATGCATCACCGTGACTAGCCAGGGGTAGGAGCGCAGGGGCCTGCCGGAGGGGTCGGGGTTGTGTGTAGGACGGGGGTGGCGCTGCAGTCGCCTCCTCTGCGCCCGTTAGGAAAGCTGAGCTAGCCTTACCTTGCCTCTTTTATATTTTTTATTTTTTTGTTGTGCCTTTTCGGCGGGCGCAAGTGGCACTATGATGGCATATTACCCCCTGTTCGCAATTTTTACGGAAAACTCCCTAAAATGCTTATTCCCTCTCCCTCCACTTATACGCCCCCCACGTTTTCCCTCTCTATTTTTTTTTTTTTTCAACTTTCCCAAAGTCGACTGCTGCTTCCATAATGTGGGGTTGAGGGTGTGTGTGTGCGACCACAAAGGCACAGTCTCGGCTCCCCTACAGAGTGGACTGAGTGTTTGTAGTGGTGCGCAGGGCCTATATAGGGTCCCGTGCCCTCGTACACTTGCACTGCCGCTCGCCCTGGATTGACTGCCTTTCAAACAGGCGGGGCGGGGCCCGGACGGGGCGGTCGCACCCTCCGCCACCACCACACCTCTTTTGTGTGTAACAAATCCGAAGCCGCCTCTGCCCGCCTCTACAAGTCGGCTGCCGCGCCGGCCGCGCCACCCGCCAGACCCGCCGGCCGGCGCGCTAACGCCCCCGCACGCACGAGCGCGCGAGAGAATGCAGTGTATAGGATTTCAGAGCGAATCGTAAAAAGAAACGCGGCGAGCGAGCGACTGGTGGTGAACGCGCGCGCTCTCGGCTGGTAATGACAACGGAAATAACGTGAAATTTTACAAATTGTTATGCGTCGGGCGCAACTTGTTGGGCCAACAGCTTAGCGGCGCGGCGGCTGCTGGCTGGTGCGCGGCTGCGCCTCGGGGGGAAAATGAGAAGGGAAAAAAGTGTCAAAGTCGTAAAAGTAAAGTCGAACTGCCGCCCTGATCACCCCCTGCTTCCTCCCTTCACCTCCTACCCGTTTTACAGCCAGCCTATACGACCCCGGGCGGTTGAATTTTACACTCCCGCGCCCCTCCCGCCTGCTGCTGTATGGGCTCTGCTTCCGAAAGGTGTTGTTTTTTGAACAGATTTTTCCTTCCCGCCTTCGGAACGACTGCGAGCAGGCTGTTCGGGTTGCCTGCCCCGTGCCGCCTGCCGCTGTTCCTCATCCTGTTCCGCTCCTCGCCCAGCCCAGGCCGCAGGACGATTGCGAGTTTCCTCCCCGCTGTCCTGCTGTTCGTTTGTTATGTCATTGCCCGCGTCATGTCGCTGTTGATGCATCGGTCCCACGGCTCGGGTCGGGTCGGGGGAGAGTGGTGGTGGTGATGGTGGTGGTTATGGTGCGCTTGGATTTGTCCACCTGATGATCCATCATGATCAGGGCCCGACCCCTCCTCCCGCCCTCCCTGCAATAGAGTGTGTGTTCGCGTGCACGTGGAGAAGTGGAGGGGTGGGGAGGGGTACGTGTAATAGAGCCGAAGGTACTTCCCTCTGCTGCCTGCCCGTCACCTCCCCGGCCGGCCGGGAACTCTCCGTCGACACACTCCCTCGCCCCCGCGTTCATCTGATAGGGAGCCCGTTTGGAGTTGGCACCTGCGCGGTCCTCCGAGACAACCGGGAGGGACCTGCTTTGCTGTCATCTACCTGCTCTTAAAGATTTGGAGGCGATAAGGTGGAAGTGATTGCGCCCAGCATCCGGGTCGGGCGGG